CCCTCCCTTGCCCCCCCCCCCCCTTTTTTTTTCTGTAAATGACTGGAGAGCAACAGTGTGACAAACTGTTCCAGTGGGAGTTAGGTTTTGCTTGTCTTTACTGTGTCAGTATCCATGATTTTTTAGGACCTGAACCAAAGGGGTACTCAGTGTGTACTTAATTTAGAAGTATTTTCATTTTTTTTTTCTGGAAAAATAAAACAGTGTTTTCCCCAAATTTCAGATTCCTTTTTTCAAGTAAAAATTTTTGCGGTGACGCTAAATCCAGACCTCTCTCAAGTTCCTGTGACGTGGAACGAAACGTCGTCTGTAGCAACTGCCCTGTTGGTTGGAAACCTGGTCGTGATGTGAGGTGGCAATGGCTTGTTGTCCTGCCTCTCCCAGTCTGGTCCCTTTCTGCAGGGAGCAGTTTGCTGTACGGCTCCAGCTCTCTGCTGCGGGGAGCAGCCTGCTGAGGAGGCGAGAGGAACCTTTCTTAGAGCTTGTTTGGTAGCTGGTGAATGCAGGTGGGCTCTTGCTTTTTTCTAGTGCTCCGCAAGGAGTGCGGAGTCCATGATGTACGCACGTATCATTGGAACAGCGTGCAGGTGGGCTCTTGCTTTTTTCTAGTGCTTCGCAAGGAGTGCGGAGTCCGTGGTGATGTACGCACGTATCATTGGAACAGCGCGCTCAGCTCAGACGAGAGGGAACACGGGAAGGGGTTGCGTGAGGAAGTTGTCTGAGTTTTTTATTTGTTTCTTATTTTTTTGACAATCAGTTCTGAGGGCAGAATGTCTTTGCGTACTGATGGTGCTTTTTCTTGGCGTAAACTGAAACGTGTTCTGCGTCTTTGCTTGGTACAGCACAATCAGACTTCTAGTTATGCATCTTGCTTAATATAAATGTCTATATATCCCTCTCGTGCATAGTTCAAAGCTGTATGTCTAGCCCTGAGAGCGTCTGTAACAGTCGTGGACTGATCTGTTACAGCTCATCAGTCTGTACTGAACATATCAGAGGTAGATGCTGAAGACACGCTATTTTTATTCCAACTTACTTTTCTCCTGACTTTAGCCTTGGGTAAAACAGGTTTGGTTTAAGATTTAATTTTCCCCAAACTAGATGGTGGCTAGAGCAAATTGTTTGTCGTTCTGTGTTGCAGCTGCAAGTGCCACAGTCATCATCAAGAATGGAGAATGGCCTTCGAAACCAGCCTGCCAGAACGGTACCCCAAGGTCTGTCCCTGCGAAAGCGGTACCGAGGCCTAGATTACACTCGTTGAAGTCGGCTCCAAAAGGTAAATTGGTCTGTCTGTAGATCAAGTGAGACCATCATTACTGCTGTTAGCTGGTAGCTTTCTACGATGGCATGACTGGCTGGGTAGATGAGGGGAGAGCCGTGGATGTTGTTTACCTAGACCTCAGCAAGGCTTTCGACACTGTCTCCCATAACATCCTCCTAGGGAAGCTCAGGAAGTGTGGGCTGGATGAGTGGTTGGTGAGGTGGATTGAGAACTGGCTGAATGGCAGAGCTCAGAGGGTTGTCATCAGTGACACTGAGTCTAGTTGGAGGCCTCTAACTAGTGGTGTCCCTCAGGGGTCAGTATTGGGCCCAGTCTTGTTCAACTTCTTCATCAAGGACCTCGATGAAGAGTTAGAGTGTACCCTCAGCAAGTTTGCTGATGACACAAAACTGGGAGGTGTGGTGGATACACCAGAAGGCTGTGCTGCCATTCAGCGTGACCTGGACAGGCTGGAAAGTTGGGCAGAGAGGAAACTGATGAGGTTCAACAAGGGCAAGTGCAGGGTTCTGCAACTGGGGAGGAACAACCCCACGCACCAGTACAGGCTTGGGGCGGACCTGCTGGAGAGCAGCTCTGTGGAGAGGGACCTGGGTGTCCTGGTGGACGACA